AGCAGTACCTTGGACCTTACGAGATCATCGCCAAACCCTCCTCCGCTTCCTATACGCTCCGCTTGCCTCAAAAGCTTCGCGGAGTCCATCCGGTCTTTCACGTCTCTCAACTCGAAAAGCACTATCCCAATCCGTTCCCGACTCGTACGGACGAGCCTCCGGCTGCGGTTGAAGTCGATGGTGAACAACACTTCGAGGTAAAAGCTGTGGTTGACTCTAAAATTGACCGTCGCTACCGGGTTCAGCTCCGGTACTACGTGGAGTGGTTGGGCTACGAAGATACTGACGAGCAGTATACGTGGGTTGGCGCTGACGACTTAGAAGCTCAAGAGCTTATCGACAGCTTCCACCGCCAACACCCGGACAAGCCTGGGCCGGACTACTAGCCTTTTCGGATTCCCTCCGGTTCTTTGCTTACTCGCTCACTCACACTCGTTTCGGACTCATTGCGGATTCTATTCTATATACAAAGGCCATTTTTCTATCTACAATTGGCCGTTCTGCTACCTACTTCTTCTTGCTAGGCCCGGTCTTCTTCTCCTGAGCCTTCTCCTGCTCCTTTCCCTTCTTCTTGTTCTCCCGTCGGCGCTCGTTCTTCCTGGCGGTTTGCTTACGCCTCTTCTCGCGCTTCCGTTCCGCCCGTTCCCACTCCGAAAGCCGCCGTGACTCGGCGATGTCGAGCGGATCGGGGATCCGGATGACTGGTGGCACCCAGTTGGGCACCGCGATCGTCGCAGGGGCACGACGGGCCCGGACCTTCTCCGGTGAGCTTTCCGCTCGCTGCTTCCCCTTGCCTTTTTGTCCACTTCGGACTCCTCCTCCTCCTCCTCCGACGACTCCTTCGAGCCCCCATCCACGGACTCCTCCGCCTCGTCGTCGATGAACGACGGCAACTCGTCGTCGAACAACGACGCAGGATTTGCGCGCGGGCCAGAGCCCTTGCGGAAGATCCTCCGGCGTTGGCGCACCGGTTGCTCGACCTCGTCGTCGTCGCTCGACTCGACGACCGGAGTCTCCGCCCGCTGACGCTTTCGCGCCCTCTCCCTCGCCGCGTCTGCCTCCATCTCGTCAACCAGACGGCGGAGCTCCTCCTTATAGGCGCGCTCGTTGGCGGCCTGAGGACTTTCCGCCTCTGGCGACTCCTCCCTCAGCCCACTCCCTTCGCCCTCCTGTCCTTCCGGCTCCGGCGACTCCGACCCAATGTCTCCACGGGTCACCCTCGCTCTCAGCTCGTGGAGCGCCTTCGACAGCGTAATGAGATGCTGCCCCTGCTCGTTCGCCAGTTGGGTGAGCATCTCCGTCTTCTCCTGGCTCGCTTTGAGCTCGGAGCGGCTCCGCTCGAGCAACTCGCGATGCTCTTTTGATAGGCCAGCTTCGCTAAGTCGAAGGTCAGTTTCGGATTCACTCCGTTGGCTGCTTCACGCACCCTTTTGGTCTTACGACCCTTTTGGCCTTCGGAGGCTTTCCGGGCCAGTCGCAGGCGGCCTTGGCGTCCACGCATTCAACGCACGACGACGCGTTGGTTTTCGTCACCGGCTGGTCCACGCACTCCAGCTCCTTCTTGACGCAGCGATAACAGGCTACAAAACGGTTAGTTATTCCTCCGTACGCTCCGCAACGGAGTATTTACGGATGGCGCGCAACGACATGGTGGTGGTGGTAGAGAGGAGAGAGTTTGGGTCCGCCATCACGAAATCCCACGGCCTTATATACCACGAATCCGGCACTCTCCGACAAACTTTTGATCATCGCCTCCGTTTCCGCCAATTCCTTTGCTGCGCCAAGCTGCGGCCCTGCAGCCATTTAATTTTAAACTTCCGCAGGGTTTCCATCGAATCTTCTGGGCTCTCGCAGGCCTCGTGCCTAAGAGGGGGATACTGTCATATCCGTGCATCCGTCATGTGCCGCGGCCCGCGGACCGGTCACGGTCCGCCGGGTTCCGGCCCGATCCGATCCGGTCGCTCCGGCGACCTTGTACTCTGTATGTCTTTCGCCTTGTTACTTATATCTCCGTATGTCCTTATGCTTGTTACTTTCCATATGCACTCCGTACCTTGTACTTACTTATGGTCTTCCCTTTCTACTTACTTGTAGTATTTAAGCAGCTAAAGTAGCTACGGTACTTTAGCTTGATTATAAACGTTACTTGCACTCCTCCTCTGTGCGGAACGACTCCGAAAACTCTTCTCTCTTCTCTTGTCCTTCAACCGGATTTCACTCCGCTCGCGGACCTTGCTCCGCTCCGACTCCGCTCCGGTCCGGTTGGTCTTGTGTTCATTCGTGTCAGGCAGCTACTGGCTTGTTAGCTATAGTAGAAACCCCCTCTGTTCTGCACGGCACTTGACAACCTCGGCTTTCCTTTGCACCTGCTAGAGCCCAGGCCCCAAGTCCTGCAGCGTTGTGGTCGGGATATCACTCGTTGCCGAGACAAAGAGACGGAAGAAATGGTCTGGTCGTCTCTTGCACCTTGACAGATAAAAGCTGACAAGTTTAGTTTATTGGAGTGGCTTATTCTGCCATTCCTGCATCGATACTCAAGGAAATTTTGGATACTCATGATCTGGTGTCTGGTACACAAATCGTGAGAGGGAAGAAGAAACGAGGATTCCCTGGCAACATGACTGTGGATGGCACGCGCATACCTTCCGGCGGTCGGCCAGCGGACAATACAGCACCATATGCGAACACTCAAGCGCGCACTGCGGGAGACTACGCAGCCTTGTATACTTCTGCCAAGGTAACAACTTCAAGAGTTCCAGGAATTTCTCTCAAACTACCTCAGTTTGCGCGAATACTGGACGAGCTAGCCGTACAAATTAATCCGGATCATCGACGTCAGATGGAATTGGCTGCCCGTAATTTCTCACTCGCTCGCTTAGGTCACCAGGTGGGCAATATGTATTATTGTCGCAACTATACAGCGCCTGCCCATCCTGACAAAGATGCGGGGACTAGCTTTGAGGAAATAGGCGTTGGAATGTTGCAGCCCACCGTACAACTCCAGCTTGAAAACTGTTTGCCGGGGGAATTCGACTTTGTGATGCTAGAATGGGGGTTGCGCGTACGTACCCAAACCAATACCACCTGGTGAGTTGATTTACAATTGGTTTCGTGTCTGATAAACTGTTTAAGGTGCTTCAATGCCCGTTATGTGCACTGTCCCATTCTACCTTCACAAAGCTCCCTGGATCGCGGTTGTCTATCGTTGGGATTACACAAAACTGTACGGGAACGAGATGCTATAGCGGCTTCAAAGCGAGAGAGAGCTAGACAGTCTTATGCCGCACGTACCAGGTACCTAGTAAATTAATGGACTGAGCAACGTGACGTGACACTTCTGTCTTTCTCGACAACCTTGCGAGGCTAGCAGCCTATGGTCACCGTCCCACCCTTGTCAGCCAACCCCCCGAGGTTAGCAGCCTATCGTCACCTACCCTACCCACCCACCGTTCTCAGCCTCAAGGTATTATCAGCTTCCATCCTATCCACCCCACCCTGAGGCTAGCAGTCTATCGTCACCCACCCACCCTTGTCAGCCTTCATCTTAGCCTTTCCCTCATCTTATCTGCCTACATCTTATCGTCAGCCAACCCCCGAGGCTAGCTCTTGCCCAGCGACAATATTTTTCGTGGACCTCTCCTGGACTGTCTCAATGTCGCTTCTGGCAAGCTGACAATTATCGATGAGACAATCCAAATCGAAGACGATTATGGCCATTTGACGAGCGAAGTCCGATGGAAACTCGAGCCCGCAACAGCAACCACGGAGAACGTTCGGGCTCTCTTGCAGACGCTGTGCCAGTCCACTCGCTTATACCAGGTTCCGCAAACACTCTATGATTTGCGCCAGCCAGCTGCCCATATATGGTCTACCCCTGGTATAAGTTTCCAGTGGATAAAGGGCACTGCCTCACGAAAAAGGATGTCTACATGTTTTACAGGAGGTTGTATCAAACACGACATTTGCGACACTTACGTTGACGCTCAAGTCCGACACCCCGTGCCGATCAGGTGTCGGATTTGGACAAAATGTGTGACAGTGTAAGATCTTCCCGACTGCTCGGGTTGCGGCGCCGGCCGCGGCGGCCGGGGTTTTCCACCCCGGACCCCGACCAGGGCTTTGCCCTGGACCCACCCTGCCGGGAGCCTCCGCTCGCCGCGTGGCCCGCTGCGCGGAGCCTTTCCCTTCTTTTCTCCCTCTCTTTCGCCTTGGATACTCCTAACAAGTCCTTTTTGGGACTAGATTGCGGCGCCGGCCGCGACGGCCGGGGTTTTCCACCCCGGACCCCGACCAGGGCTTCGCCCCGGACCCCACGCTGCCGCGGGCTGCCGTTCGCCACGGGGGCCCGCTGCGCGGAGCTTGCCATCCTACTTTATGATCTGCCGTGTGTCACATTTCCTTGTGAATCCCCCAAACGGGAGTGTCGGACTTGGCCATCAGCGCCTTCAAGTGTCGCAGTTGGACAAATTTTCATCATTTTCTGTCCATCAATTACCGAAAATAGTATGTGTCGTACTTGGACTAAGGTGTCGTGAGTGTCGAAGATGAAATATCCCGGTTTTACAGGGAATTGACCTTACCAATTCCGCCAAATCGATTCAAGCTCTGCTAGAGTTTCATGCTCGTGCGGCCCTGAACATCTCTGGATGGGTCCCATCTCGGGGAAAAAACATTGGCGGAATCGGTTCCATGGTGCTAGGTCCCGGTACGAGCATTTTGGCACTTTTGAAAGATCACCTAAGCCTTATGTAGCTCCGCCAAAACCCACTTGTTTACGAACATAATAGCGATCGTCGATGTACGTTTCTTAAATGGTCCTTGTAGAAGATGATACCTGTAGCTACACCCCGCACTCCAATTCCGGAGTTATCCAAACACTCTGACTGCTTTGGCGGATGGAAAAGATTCTGTGGGATTTGGTGGACGACACGATCAACTTTAAATTTTATCCCAACCACTTTCTTGTCCAACTGCGTGCAACGCATGAATTTACGGATCTCATGACGGAGTATCTGCGGCTCATGAAGGAAGTGCTGAAGCCAGATAGCTATGGTCGGTATGACATTCCCCTGCCCGAAATTCGTAGCATTGAGGATTCGGAGGAGGAAGATGACGATCCTGAGGAGACTGAGGGTTTGTGAAATTGAAGTGTTGTGGCATTCAAGTTGGCGTCTCATTTTGGATAGAAAACGGTACCCTCAAGAAACGCCCAATCTGGCACGATGCAGAGCAGTCAGACAGCAAACGCCAGAAGACTACAGAGTTAGAGTCGTGTGATGAGGACGACAGTATGCAGCAGGCGATAATGAATGATCCGCTTCCTGATTCTCCGCAACCGCAACCGCAACCGCAACCGCAACCGCATCCACTGCCTGTGCTGAGCGACTTGATGGAGCCAATCTTGTAGACCCTGAACAGCACCCAGAGGAATTGCATCCAACTCCTCCCACTCCAGAACCGAGCCTCGACAAGGACAAGCAGGACCTGGAAGCGCCGCAACTGGAGGAGGACCAGGATATGCCCGCTCCGGACAAGGAAAAAGCAGTCTGTATAAGTACCAATCCAAATCCAGCCGGGTATGTTAGGATCATGCCTAGGCGTGATTTTATTAAGCCAAACGATGTGACATCCAAGAGGTCACAACTCACCCTGGCGCCACCCCAAATGTCGGCTCTCCCAGCGCGTCGGTCGATACTCAACCTTTACTCATCCATGCTACGTGTATCGCGTAGCTTCAGCTCCTACAACTTTCGCAACTATTTTGTGGATCGCACGAAGGACAAGTTCAGACTAATTCAGGTGTGTTGCCAAAGCGTCTTACTTGCTTACTCTTAGGCAAAAAATATTAAATTAGTCAGAATGAGAAAGACTCCGCTCGAGTGCAGACCATGTATGACGACGCCGTCGCAGAGCTCGCTGTCTTACGAAGAAGTGCCGCTGTGAACCGAATGTACGGCGGGTGGCGACTGGCAGTGGAGCCAAAGAAAACTCCACAACACATTGAGAGCATATAGACAGTGGGCTTCCCCAAGATGTAGGATATAAGCTGGGGGAGCATAATTCTAGTATTACAATGCATTTTCGTCGTCGACTTTTGGCGGTGGTTTCGATTTCCCCCGTCCGCCCAACCACCCCCGAGACTTTTTTGACCCTCCAGAGGTTTCTACGTCGGCCAGCTCCCCGTCTCGTTTGGCCATGACGCCTTTGCCAAAGACATTTGTCTCGATTTCATCCATCAACTGAGCTTCAACGACCCTAATCATGAAACATGAACACAATACGCAGTCAAAATTCAAAGACACCTACATATTGGCATAATAGAATCGCCAGTCTTGGTCTCCACGGGACTGGCGGCGAGCAACCGACTTTGGAAGATATTCTTGAGTTTCCCTATGAACAAACGCTGGAATCAAGTGGCTGCCACGTATGACATCTTGAGGATCCAGAAATCCAAATGCGTCAGGGTCTTCATACGACATATAGTGAAGTGTCGTACTCCAAAGCCACAGAGCCAAGTCATGTCACGTTGCAGCCAACGCACCCATAAAAATTCGATCCGTTTCGGTTTTGTGGGGTGGTCAGCCAGCAATATATAGGCGTGGAATATCCCGAGGAGTTCGCCGTACCAATAAGGGTAAGGGTCCAATGCATCTTGAGCGCGTACAATAAAGAATCTCCGAGTTCGTGGGTTTAGCACGTTCGTGGGTTTAGCACGTCCTGGTCCCTTCGGACATCATAGGTTGTGTAGTTGACCTTCATGGTGGCGTGGGTGTAGAGCTAGTCCTTCTCCACCACAACATTCATTAAATCTTGTGGACTAAACTGAATGTTGTCGTCCTCGAGTTGAAGCAGTCGTCGCCGGAAATAGGGCTTGAGCTTGAGAGTAAAGTCCTTGAATAATGTTAGGATGTGTTAGGATGTGTATGAAGAATATACTTGAAGAGCAGGGTTAAAAACGTTTGAATCCATATCCTGGGAATCATTTAGAGTAAGACAAGTGCCGGCGTTGATCAAGACAAACCATGGGTTCTAACGGCGGTCCATCACTACCGGAGTCTGAGCTATCAGATGAAAGTCCGATATCCGCAAGGTCAGAGAGATTCCAAAAGGTTCTCTTCGAGTCTGAGATATAGTGATGTTGCTCGGGCGTCTTCACATCAAGGGTCTCTCGAGAAAATCGTCGAATCGTTGCAAGAAGGGCTGTCGTTGCTGTTCGAAAAAGCTGGATGGTTGTCGTCGTGTGCATACGGAGTTTAGCATATCCATGCCAGACCGCAAGCTCGAAACAGAGCTGATCCACCAGTTTTTGGTGCATTGGAAACAAGCCGTCAATGACTGGAAGAATGCACTGAAGGTGTATATGTAAGGTAGTGAGGAGGCTTGAATCCATAATCTTACCTGTAGCACATCTTCAAAGTTCCTAGCAGCCGCATACTTCATATCCGAAACGTTGTGACCGAAGGCCCGTATTACTGAACGGCCAAACGTGTCAACCTGGCGAAATCTAGAGTTTATTAGACAAAAATAACCAGCCACAACTGTTCCGCTGACCGTTGGTCGAACTCGTCCACATTCTTGAATGTTTGGAGCATGCGAATCAAATGTGTGATGATCGCCTTGGCAACTCCGAGTTCCACCTCATGCAACAAGTCGGGAACGAATATGGAATGAAAATTGAAAGATGTCTTCTCCGTGTTGAGTTTGGAAAAGGCATTCTGTTTCGACGTGAATAGGACTAATAGCACGAACTAACATAAACTTATATTATAATTACCCGAACAGGAACCCAAGATTTATCCTTGAGCATATTGTCAATCGAGCCCTTGATAACGAGCTTGCCACTCTGAAAGATAGCCCTTCGCGTGTCTTCAATAGTTTGTCGCCGAGGACGATCATCTACTCGGAGGTTTTGGCGTCGCTTCATATCATTTACAGTCCCCGTCCCGCAATCTGCGCCTTGGCAATAAAACACCGAGGGCATGAATGGCCGCCCAGACTTCTGATAGTAGCTAGGAGAACTCTGTTTATGTATGAGAACAACTGTTAGACAGAAAGTAGGATATACTTTTCAGGGTAGTCGGCACCATAGATGAACAAGCGAGGAAAAACCAGTCGAACGATACCATCGAAGCACCGAATCTTTATACCGTTGTCATACGCTTCCATGAAGTCATCCGAGAATAAAAGATCCCATATTCGATGCATTAGTTCTCGTTTCAGATGTGTATAAACCTCGCCAGGCATATCACAGTCATACTGCTTGCGGTATGCGTCACGAAATTGAGTCGGGAAGCTATATAGTATGTGTGTGAGCGCCCAACAAATATAGTAGAGAGAGAGAGAGAGAGAGAGAGGAAAATACCTCCGCAAAATAGACTTGATGGAAACCGGCATTAGAGGATGGCTTGGTTCGAAAGCTCTTGGGATGGTTTCCAAAGAAGGTGTACCCCGGCCAGAGGGAGGCTGCACCAAATTGAGCAAGGTGAGTGGCGTCGGACCATTCCATCATGGCCATAATAATGCTTTCGACTGGGTCGTCAGGCGATTGGGGCGGCGGAGGTTGGGGAATATTCTGGTATGCCTCGAGCATTGCCGCAGAAGTATAGATCTCGCCAAAAACTTCTTCATGGTTTAGAGGCAAGTCAGGTAGCCCATGGGAGTTCGGGCGAAGAGTCATCATCGAGAGACACATCATCAGGTGATCTCGAATCATACAATGGGTCGAATCGAAGCGAGAATGGAGTGGTGTGCAGTTTCGCGAACAAAGGTCCTTGAAGCACCTCTCTGATAGGATCGAGATAATGGATGTCGGTGACTGTGAACTCGGGAGCATCGATCTCCTCCTGCAGTTTTCTACGCATGGTAACTTGAGTTTAACACTGCCTTGAACCCACTTGTCCATGACACCAAGAGGTTCAAATCCGTTCTTATCCAGATCATCCAAAAATTTCTTGGTGGAGAATTTGGGTCGAGGAAGGTCCGCAAGATTGACTCCGTCAGAGTGAGCTTCATCATCAGGCTGGAGGATATTATGAACGAGTCGGTCGAAGCCAGAGATGGACCCGGGATTTTCCTCTTCAATATGATACTTCATCATGTGTGCGACGGATGCGTTTGGGAATGGATAGTACCATGGTTCTTTGGGAAGGGGCAATTCGTTGGGGTTGACTTCGTTGCTGTGCGAGGCAAGAGGTAGAGGTCGTCAAGGGTAACATCGTCATCTGGGTCATGTGTTGGTCGTCGGGGGTAGACCTTGTAAAGACCAAATAGAGAGGGTTGAGTTCGAACCCATTGGCGCGGCGGGGCCGGAGGCAGCAGTAAAAGCTGAGCTTCTGGCGTATCTGTCGACGCGGCAGCTGGTTGGCGACGTACACGAGGTGGTAAAGCAGGAGCAGCATCGTCGAATTTGGCGGGAACACGACGACGTCGGTCTGGCAAGCCACTCTTGCGAAGCTTCGTAGGCTCCGGAGGAGTTTCTTCAATTTGCATCTGAACAACCTGAATATGAGAGGGTGGTCGCCACATATGTAGATAGGCACACCTGAACTTCGACTGGAGGGGGAAAGACCAGTGGAACAGTTGAAGCTTGTGCTGCCCATTGACAACGCCGCCAATCGCTGGTGCACATGTGCGACAGATTGAATATGCAGTGCTTTGAAGCCTGGGCATGTCCTGTCGTGGACGACCTTGGCATCCCAGATTTCGCAAAGGTTTGTTGCAAAGTTGACATTGGTATTTTGCTTTGGGCATGACGCGCGACTCTAGTCAAAAGACTGTTGGATAGTATGGTTTATAATATAGATGGTCCCATCTGGTCAGATTCGGCCCAAGGGCCGTGAGCGTTTGAGTCGAGGTAGTTTGTGCTTACATAATAACCATCTTATTATACAAGAGACTTCGGTGTCACTTTTCGTGACATCAGGAGTGATGAGCCAATGAGATCGCGTCATTCAAAAGTCAATTCGCCTCTCCTCTCCTCTCTTCTGCCAGACGCTATGGGTCCTCAGTGCCGCCCATGGCTCATAACTACCGGACTACTTGACTTCCAGACACCGACTTATTCGATTTCCCGCCTCCTAAGGCCCCAGACAACATGACTTTCTGCCAACCCTGACAACGACAAAACTACCTACCGCGTAGCCACATCCCATTCAATTTCAACCATGCACGAGCTTTGTATTTCTCTACATTCTTCAATACAACCACACTTGCCCCCTCTGCAACCTGCCTGTCTCTGGGTAGATGATACCTGAGTCTCAGTTTGCACACTGGCCAACACAATCTTGAACTCACTCTGTTGAGTCACAGGGCGTACTGTACTGCAAGTACAAAATCTCAGTGTGAGTGATATTCTGGCCTGCAAACACACTCTAATCCTCTATTTTGAACAGGTTGCTGACTCCTGACTCCTCTCTCCCTTCCCTGCAACCCTCGCTGTATTCAGCAGCACCGAAACGATGCCAATTGCGCCTCCCTACATGTCTCCACGTCGAATCTTGGTCAATCGCACAGCACTAGGAGATCATACCAACCTTGGAGGAGATGCACAACCATAACAAGCTGTCCAGCGAGCAGAGAGTCACGAGTAGCGTTTGCTCAGCAGGATACTCCCAGCCAACAGCTTCGAACGACTCCAAATGTGACTTCTGTGGAGAACAGAGCTTCTTCTCCAACTCCAGCCCCTTCAAGACGTTGGGTCAATGTATGTCCGTGTTTTTTGTTTGATTCTTTTACATATGTTAACGTGTTTGTAGCTCATTCTACCTCCCCCTCCCCCCCCCCCCCCCCCCCCCCACCACCACCACCACCACCACCACCACCACCACCACCACCACCATTGCTAATGCTGCCTGCAAATGCACATCGATTAACGGTTTGTGTTTGTATTTTTCCAACGGCTCGAGCTAATGTTTTGGTTTAGCTGCTTCTTCCGTCCCCTCCAGCAACGCAAAATCTAAGGCGCGTCAAACGCTCAATAGGCCGGCGACAATGATGGGAACGACAGTGCTGAAAATGAGAGGAACAGCAAACTGTTCGACAGGAGAAATTGGTGCGGAATCCTGCCATTTCAGCCGCAGGAACCTGGAAGACCAGGTCTGCCGGTTTCTTTAACTTTTTTTCCCTAATATTTTCTCACTCTTCTTTGGTCCCCCGCCCTATCCGCCCTCTCAAGCATGCCAATGAAGAACGACAGCAGCTTTCGACGCCGCCAGACACACAGCCAGGTATGTTTTTATCTTCATTTCTGACCGTTCTAACTTTACATCATTAAGAACCATGTTAACTATCTTCGATACTGCAGTCACCTCTAAGGCCTCACGTACTACGACCAGACCCACTTTCACAACCACGGCAAGCCACAAATGTCCGCCGCCAGCATGTTGGCAACACTGATCTTCCACCGGCTCGCCAGCCTTACACGAAACCTCGCGCTCGACACAATCTTGGGCATATGAATGTCACGACGCAAAATTAAATACATTTCCAAGTATCTGCTTAAAAATAGTCAGTATATCTACCTTAATTTGAATCCCCTGCCATCATCGCTTGAGCCCCGTAGCGTAGCACGGGTCCCTGCTAGTTGACAACAAATGAAATAAGGCCGACACGCGGCGGAGTACAAACAGAACGTCCGCGTCATGTTGTACAATAAAAGTACACTACCTTTGACTGCCAGTGCTTTCTTGTTCCAACTCCTCTTGACAGGTGAATACTGACCGTTCTGGGCCGCAGGCGTGCCGGAGTCCAGCCGCAGTACCGCGGTTGCCACACGCTCAATGATCCCGTCCTTCCCTTTACCTGCATACGAACGGGGACACGATGCCGCAGCATGCCGGGAGCGATAGCCTGTGATTGTGGTGATTGATTATCAAAGACCGATCCAGAGCTGCTGACGAGTGTGCTTTTAGATAAGCACTCAGTCCCACTTTCGGTCACCCATAAGCACAAACTCCGAACTTCGTTCTGTTTGTGAATAAACGGAGAAACTTCAAGTTGAAGGGTATTATAACGGCATAAGACAGCGCGATGGAACTAATTCATTCTAGGCTCGTCTGAATCATTTTCATTCTTCACCAATGCTTCTCTATGTATCTATTTATCTATCTATCTATCTTCGTCCTTCTTGTTTCGACACCCAACTTGAAGCTCAGACTTTTCCTTCATCTCTAATGGCTCCTTTTTTCACAACTATCCGCGATCGGCTTTCTTTCTCCCTTCACACTTCTGGTTGTGCACATCGCCCCAGCGGGCCCAGCTCCAGTTTGCTGGAAGGCTCGTGGACTGGCCAGTCATCCCTATCGCTGCCAGTGGTAAAAGCCGAATATGCACGGTCGACGGTGACCAGCGTCGACAGGATATTGCTCGGAAGGCGGGACAACCGAGGGACGAGTTGGGCAATAACGCCAATCTGGTTCCGTGTATTGTTGACATCATATCCCCAGAACGCTTTTCAGCTGCAATACCATACGACATCGACGCAGCGCTGGCCATAGTAAGCAAGGGTGCGAACGTAGCGTCTCCTCGAAGATAAGGAACCGTTTTCTGGAGCGACAACTGCCACGATTCAGCCAGCGCAGTTTGGGACTGGGTCAAAGACAAATTCATGTTGATGAGGTGAACTGCGCGACCAAAGAGTCGCGGTCTGCAGGAAGCTTGCTTTGGTAAGCGTTGATGTGGGTGTGGAATAGTAAGGTAGAGAAGATGAAGTCATCTCCTAACTCCCGCTCAGCAGCGAATTCGAATGACCGGACTTGCTCCAGTGTCAACAAAGGGAAGCCATCCTTTAATTGTTCAGCCCACTCGTCGTATAGAGATGGGTCATACGAGCTGGGTGTTGCCTCCAACAAGAGCTCGCTCAAATCATCCGCAGACCGGAATCGCGGTTCCATCTTGGTGAACCTAATCGGTTTGGATTTGGCGGCATCCTTGTTAACGGCGAAATGCATTCCGATGTCATGGGCAATGATTTTCAGAGCAAACGATTTCGCCAGGGTCCGATAAGCGTGCATTGAAACAACCTCGTGATGTGCCGACCGCCGAATACCATCGACTATTTCGAAAACATCAGACTCGTACTATTCTGGGACTGGTCCCAAATTCTTTGGACGCCAGGTTTGTTATGCGGTCCCAGAGTTCGGGACTGTCTCTGAAGCCTTCAAGAACGTTCCAATCCATGCTCCCAAACGACCTCCAAAAACTTCAAGACGGAAGACAATAGCTGCGGATTCATATCCCACATCTCGCTCCATCCAGCCAACATGTCTGTCGCAACATCTAATGCACTTTCAGCGATCTCATCAGCCGGGCTGTCGGTTATTGTTTTGGCTTTGCCTTTTAGCTGAGCAGGGGTGCGGAATCGGCCATTGACAAACAAGCCACCGAGAGCAGGTTCGGATGCGACAGCCAGGGAGAGGAAATTCCAAACGGCGCCGCGCAATGTCATATCCTCGTAAGGATGCTGAAAGATCTGGACAAGTGAAGCAACCGTTGTTTCGATGGTTAGTGGCGAGGGGGACATCAATGCAAATGAGGCACGCAATGCACATAACACCCGCATAGCCTCGACGGGAACAACATTTCCCCATCCCTCGTTGTTTGACGCAAAGAGCAAGCACGTCGATTGGGTCCGCCTTGACGAACATGTTGGAATCGCGCGAAAAAGCTCCGCCAGTTACGCGAGTGCAAAACAACTGTTCCGATAAGCATGGCTTGGTCGAACGGGTGTTGATTTTGAGGTTCATCACAATCCGCGCCAGATGAAGGTGGGCTTCAAGACAGAAGACCAATCGGCGGACATCCGCATGGAGCCGCGAGTCGTATAGTGACTCCAGCCTGAGGTTATTGTCGAGGCCAAGGGATTAATGGTTGAGGTTGTAGCTTTGAACAGCGTAAGGTCAAGCACTGTTTGCACAAGTTTCGCAAAGGGATATTCTAGTCATTGTTAACGCAAGCTCCAAAGGGTATGTGATTGGCACTGACTATTGCTGAATCATCTAAAACTGGTGGCGCATGCTCGAGAATCGTCCCATAGAAAGTCATGACTTGTTGTCCGATGTCGTACCGCTCCGCCTTTTGCGCATACTTCCAGCTTAAATGCTCAACCCAAACTTCAGTCTGGACAAAGCGGATCCCCCGCATCAACACCTCCTCTTTGAGCTGAAGAAGTTCGGGGTTATCTGGAAGAACGGATGAAAAGGCCTCTGCCGCCAACCGCTGCACAAGATGCAAAAGGCCCAACGTCATCGTATTATCGCCCACTGACTTTTTCAGCAGCTAAAGCAACTGATCCAAAACCCGCACCCCGTTCTCCAAATAAAGCTCCTGTCGTGCAAACATATAGCCAGACACGATGAGTATATCGAGGCAACGCCAATATGGCAGACAGAACGCTCATGGCGGATGTAATGAGCTGGATTCGATACCGTTACTTCGGTGGCCGGAAGAGGTCAACGCGTCTTCCAATATCATAGTCGTGAGTTGGACCAGGTCTGGCGGTCGGGCTTCCGTCATGGTGTGTGAAACGACGGGATCTCCAGCGTCGAAGGCTTGCATAAGCTGTTCAGCCTGAGCAGGACTGTCTTGGATCAAACTCTGCACCAAATCCAACGCGTGTGTTATCACAGTCTCGTTAATCCCCCCGGAGTTGGTTTCGACACCGACATTCTCCAAACGGACGGTCACAGGCTGGCCAGCCCCGCGCGGCGCAAACAACACATTTGAGTAACCCCCAGAAAGAACCTGGCGTTTGTTCACGTAGTCGGTCAGGACCTCCAAAATGAGCTTCCATCCTGAGTGCTGATGTTGCCAGCACACGATTTGTCAAATGGTGAGGTTTTCGAGGTAATAGAACACGTGACGGGCGCAAGAATCTTCTTGCGCACAGCAGCTTGAGATGCAGGACGAGTCGGGGGGCCCTCTTGGGTCGAACAAAGTGGATCTGTGTCGAGGAAGCCATTGCCGGGTCATAGCGCGGAGAAGGCGAATATATTGGGCTTGGGTCTCCGTGCGCTTCAACCTCGAGCTGAGGAAGTGTAGGAGTTTTTCACCCTCGGCTTCAGTTCGTGGTATTTCGATGGGGACGGGACAGAAATGCAGATTCCACTTTGAGCACAGAGTGTCGTCCGAGTGATAAGAAACCAACAAACCATCCATGAATTGTGTTTTGAAGGACGCAAATCAACAGCAGCACGAGACGATGAGTAGCATATAGTTTGTGTAGGACGGTGGACACCGGTGAACGTGAACCAATTATCGACATGGTGGGATGAACAGGTCGCAAACCAAATAGACGAATGATTTAACTTACATCGGTGATGATGAGCTCATGAAAAGGAGGGAATAATTTGTCAGCGAGGTGACCGCAAGCTATGATCATGATCATTTGATCACATGGGTGTGACTGGTCACCGTTGACTCTTGTCTTCATCCCACCATGGCTCCCAGTCTCAACCTAGAGAGGAAGTATCGCCCAGTAGCAAATGACGAGGCGGAACGGAAACAGATACCCCGCTCCGTGATAACTTACCTGCATCTCGACAAGAAATTCCCCAATTGGCTCCACCAGGAGGTCGCCAAAGAGCTCCTCACCAACACAAACATTCCCCAAGACTATTGTTTCTTGGCTTTCCACGATATATATCCCAAGGCCATGCTGGATCCTGTACTTGCCCAGCTGCCGCAGGGTATGGAGCGTACCCACAAGCTGATGCTCCTCGACGCCATGAGAAACCGAGAGAAGAAGGTATGTGCCTGTTGTTCCTTTCTCCTTCTGCACTGAATGATTGGCAGAATCACAACAGAACCATTAAATCCAAGAAGACTAAAAAGAAGCAGGTAGGCTACGCATATTCATTTCTTCTTCCCGTACTAAGCATGCTAGAACTTGGGAAACCGAAACTCTGGTCTCAGTACAGCCCCTGGGCCTTTCATAGACCGGCAGCTATCCGACAAGGAGGACGCCGCCCCTCATGACAGACCAAAACCCGCCGCTTTCAGCAAAGCGCCTCGGCTGCCCGATGTTCCGATACTCTCGAGGCTGAGAGTCTTCCCCAGCTGTTCTCCCCGTAGGATTCCTACCGAAGATGGAGAGTCCATCTCCACATATGCCGGCCCCCTGAGACGCTCAGCTTCTACCAGCTCTGGCAGGTCTTCGCCGGACCCTCTTGGGGTCTCACCGACAGTGTTTGGTGACGAGATTTCGGACATTACGTCTAACGATTGGGTCTGGGACGCCAAGGTTTCAGATGATGAGCTTTCCGAATTAGATGATGAGGTCTCTGAAGGCTCTGAATCGAACGCCGAGGTCACTGATGATAGGGTGTCTGAACGCGCTGAACGCGCTGAATCGGTGGTCTCCTCGCGACCTTCCACCTCCTCGCCCGACTTGCGCATGCCCCGGAATATTTTCCTGGAGGACACCCAGGCGAATACCAAGAAACTCGAAACATTACTTGAAGACGAAGTTGCAGTAAATCATGCCATTGCCATGGTGATCTGGGATGATTCTATTTGGAGCTCGCTATGCTGCATGGATCCGTCCGTCCAGGCTTCATATCTCCACGAGTGCTTGCTCGAATTCAGGCAAGACGACTTCGACATCCCTACTCGGTCAGCGGGCCCACTGAAAACCACCGTCAAAATCATCCGAAATCTATTCCAAGACAGGACGAGCGAAGTTTTTGGCCGCGTGATGAAGGAGGGAACACTATTTCCCTACACTTTAAACGTCCTTGAAATACTGGGTGGGATGGCTGGGAAGTCGGACGAAGAAAAGGCTTCAATGCAAAGATTGTTCTTGATGTCCCTCTCGGAACTTTAGATGATTCCCGTAGAAATGTTTTGTATACCTTGAGCGATGTCATGACAGAGAGGTTCTAAGAATGAAATCTATGTTTGTTTTCCGAGAATTTTCAAGTATCCATCTATTGCAATTGCATTACCTCCACCGCAACCAGTGTAATACCAAGGCTTTTGCATATGCTACGAGGGATAGCTCGTGCGACGCAACGGGCGGGAGTAAGCTACCCGTAGTTCACGAACATAACACTGTTTGTGCTTAGTGTAATGAGACCAAGATCTTCCACCATCGATATCATACTGTAGCCCAACGGTAACCCCTGTCACTTCATTTTCATTTCGTTCGTTGCAAACTCTTCGCCGGAAGGATCTGACAGCCAGCAGCCCAGGACGAGGGGGAGATAGAGGGGCCTCACGTAAAAAGTCGCAGGAGGACGGGGAAGGATGGGTGCCAACGACGGGCCGGATGGATTGTCGGATGAGTCTTCAAGTTGCACTTGGAATGTTGCGGCCTTGTCTCCCACAGTCAGACTGTAAAAAATCAGCCTATGAGGGGGGTGGTTGGACGGCTGATATAACAGTCTGATGTCGTTCACGCCCCCCCAACCCAACAGGACCGCGCGTTTAATCAAATTGCCTTATATGGTCCGTGGCTGTGCCCTCCTTCCTTGCCTTCGCATTTCTGCTGGTGGGTAAGCACATGAAGCTTCCCAATTGCCCCATCAACTTTTTCGAAAATCGGAAGCATTTCGGGAAAGTGAGCACGGATTCGCTCAAGGAGCTTGATACGGTATTGACACCAGATGTCGTAGGTGAGCATAATCCAGCGAAGGCCGTGTGCTTCGGTGCCAAGTCCATATTTGAGAGCAAAGTCGGTATAGCCAAATCTAATATTATGACTTAGTTGACTGTTCGTACATGGTAAGGGAAACCAACCCTTCTCCCTTGAGTAGGTCAATCATTGCTTGTGGTAAATAGAAACCATGTCGGCCGCACTGGATTGCAACGACACCGCTGATGACACAATTCTTGAATTTTGCGGTATTCTGCATTTTGCTGGCCTTGAGATGGGAGTATGTCCCAGGCTAAAAGGTTAGATTAGTCTTCCCGAATCAAGCTGGGCAACAAGTATGTACATCCTCACTCTTCGGCATCTTCTCCACATATGCGGCCGTTTTGTGCTTTGGCCCGAAAAAAGCGTTACCACCATTCAATGCGATGCCATTAGGATCATCGCGCTTGTTCTTTCGCTGGAGTTTGAAGTTGCCATCGGCAGAAACGAAGAGTGTGTACTTGTGGCTAGATGTTGGTGAGAAAAATGCGACTTGAGCTATTCAAGTGCGTACCGTTCCGTCTCCAGAGCACTGTCCATAGTCTCTGCAGTTATGTTGAAACCAATCTCCGGACACGCTGGGCAGCGCAGGGCAAGACTATGAGGTCGTCGATGTGGGACATGTTGATCGAAGGTATGTGCTTGGCCCGTGCGGCGTTCAAGCGACAGATATCTCCAAAGTCTGCAAGCAAAGAGAAATTCACGATAGCGCTTCTGTCAGAATATTAGAGGAAATTGGTTAACGTGTGCGGAATATTACCTCGACGGCATCAGGAGCCTCATTATCCGTCAATTGACAGAGCGCCTTGATATAATCATATGCCGATTTCTTTGAAGCCAACATATGAACTTGAAACTGCTTCAAAACCCCAAAGGTAAATGCTGTACGGGGCTCCTTAAACGATGCGGGGAACAGACGAACTGAGAGGAGTTGCTCCCAATGCTCGATGGCCGCTCAGAGCACTGACACCACTGAATTGTGGCTTCTTGCAGTCCTGTTTCATGACAGATCGTGAGCGGCGTACGGGGTGGGCGTGAGGTCTGGCTAGTGTGAGGGCATTCTCGACCGCCAAAACCCGGATGAATGGGAATAGGTTGCTGGTAATGACGCCGAGCGAATTGTTGGCCATCCCATTCCTCAATATGATGGAACGGTGTGAGCTGGTGCACTTGCGCTACACATGACAAGCACCACAATGGTGAGTTGAAGCAATCGAGGCAGCGAAAGGTCGGCTGCTCCTGGCCGCACTGGCAAGGCTGCGCCCCAAGCCCGCGGTGGGTAAAACCAGCAAGAATATACTTCTGCACAGTTGGGAGTAGGGGGAGGATAGCGCTCATAGCAGCTGCTTGTCCCTATAGATATTCAGACTTCTTGCAGTCAGTAGATAATCGAATCCATACCTGTTTCACAGCTGAAGGATTTGTGATTTTCTCGCTCGTTGGCATTTCAGAGCCAGAAACAAGCAAATCAGGGAGGAGGGGAGGAGGTTGTGTATCTTGTGGTTTGACTTCATCATTCCAGCGAGCTTCGACATCTTTTGCCTTGGTCTGTCGTTTCCGTGGGGCGGTATAAGGGACAGATTGAGACGTTGACGCTGCTTGTGAGACATCTGAAGTTGCGGCCTCGTCGTAGTCGGATTCGGTTGCAGCACGAACACCAACAGTCGTATTTCCTCTCTTCTTCCTACGCTGCTTTGGCAATAATTCTTCATCTCGCGCCCGTTTGGTGCTAGACATGAATCAAGCGACAAATCAGTCGTGACAATCAACAAGATCTATTCGTTCTTTTCCTTTCTCATATCCTACCTCAACACTCTATTTACGACTACAAAGGGGCCAGTCAGGCAAGCTCGCAACACCTGCCAGTCTAAGGTACACTACTGCCCCCGGAGCAACAGCTATCTTGGTATTGACATTCGCAGAAACCCAAGCACCTCGGTGAAACTTTTCCAGTGCTGAGGTCCCATTCCATCCCGCCCTTTTTAACGCCTCAACATTTGCCTTCAACGAAATTCGAACTTGGTGGTTAGAAATTGGATCTTGGGCGCGTTTGAAGGCAAGGTGAGTGCTCGCCATTCCATCCTATGGAACTATATTCAGCCATCTCAGCCAGAACAAAAAACGGCAACATACTGTGCTCCAGAACCATACACGGGCTTCGTCTTCAAGAAGACTAGTGCTCAGGATGGGATCAGAGGTTGCAGGGTTGGCTGCTTGGCGAGGCATGGCTAATGTGGAGCATGGCGTGTGGCGAGGCAGAGTGAGCTTTTGGACGGGGTTGAGGCAGATGATTCTGTATGGCGTGGCGGGAAGGAGACCTTTGGGACTGGCATTTGGCGCCATTTCGCCAAACGATTTCGCATTTCGGTCGGGAGTGATGCCTCGGCGGCAGCAGCAATTGGAGACGGCTCGATGGTCATAGGAGAACTGGGTGGGGATGCAGATATGACCAGAGTCTCAGGTGTTTATGTGCGTATTCCGGTAGCGCTTTGACTTAGTGGTTTGACTGATATTCAAAAAGTACGCTCAAGCCTTCATCATATTCGCCGTTTGTCCCAAGCGGCGGACATTCGTCGATTTTAAAATGTGGCTCATTCTTGGTCCTCACCCACAATATCCAATGTCAACACCCCCATCTCGTAACCAGCAATGGGCCCAAACCCACATCCCCTTCCCCGAATACTGGGACTTTTGCGCTCTCAATGAAGCCGAGCTTCCCGGAAACCAATGGAAGACACCACACCAGCTCAACATATACCTCGCATTGAACTCGCCGGTACAATTAGAACGTTTTGGCGAGCGCACCACCTTTGTGCGTACTTTCTCCTCATTTTTCATCTACTTTCCTGAATAGAAAACAGTGTCGCCGGTACAAGGAGCATTGCGTCAGCCACCTCAAGAAGTACCCGTTGGCTGAGCCACTTCGAACCCAACTGCGTCTCCGTTTCAACGAGTTTCGGGGGATGCCGATAGTCCCAGTAACACCAACGCCGATTCGCACTGCAAAAACTCTCTCTTGTAAGAGCATGCATGCCCTTGAATACCCGTATGCATCCTCATTTGTTTCTAGCGTCTCCGGCATCCAATAAGCAGCTTCCCGAGGAGCTAGCTGACCGCTACGACAGCGATGATTACGACCTTGCAGATGGACATTGTCAGTTGTTATTTTATTGTATTCATCTTACTAATCTTGTGTCTCAAGGCCGCAAACTTGATGTTATTCTCTTCAGCAAGCCCAACCAGTTGCCCTTGCAGCATATCTTCAATATCCGTTCTATCACCTGTGTCGACATCACAACACTCCCGCTTATTGAGCGTCTGTGTGGCGAAGATCGAAAGCAAGGAAAGAGTGGCCGAATGCTCAGATTTTGTGGGAAAACAAACAACTGGGCTGTTCTTCGTGGTGCCGAAAACCTATTCGAGGATGGTTCATTCCTCATTCTACGTCGGTCGTGGATTATGGAGTCGGAATGCCTTGGGTTGGAGAACTGGCTCGTTGCCGCTCTATCGTCAATTGCAAATGGTTTACAAGGTATGTTGGTCCATAGACTTGTTGGATATGCTACATACTTATGGACAGATTTGGACTCCGAGAATGATTCGGATGTGGAGATTATCGAGACTGGTAAGCACTGCCCTCCAAGTTAGTGCGCATTTTCATGTTGGCTTTAAAAAGTGTTATCAAGCAAGATGACAAAGAAGCGCAAGCGTCGATTGGGTAGCGGGAAACCTGAAAAGCGAGCTCGTCATGCAGACCAGGAGATCATTGAGATTTCAGACTAGACTTGTACTTTTTGGAATAAATGAGTCGCTGTATCGCTGTGACATTTGGTGTGACATCTTTGGTGTGACATCATCCATTTTTTGTACTTCCACCTCCAACGCTTTTCCGTCCTCTTGCTGGACTTCATACTCCATCCACAACCGAGTTCACATGCCCAGACTTCCCGCAGCTATCCAAAATGTTGCTTACCAGCCTCCAAACCCCTTGAAATGACCATCGAGGCTTTGACCATCTGTCTTTGACCGCCGTTCGAAGCGACACAACGGACCAGGATTTGCCTGCCCGTGCTTCTGTCTTTGGACCAGCCGAGCGCTTTGGACTCTGCTTCGAACTACTATGTGGCCCCGCCAACGTCCAAAGCACCACCTTAAAAACTCCATCCCCCTCCTCGACTATCCTCTCCTCGCAACACTACATTCTGTTCGTCATCATGCCCGCAATCGAGAACACGACCAGTGTAACCAGCTCCACACAACCAGACACCGTACCGAAGATTACCTGGAAAAAGCAAACCGCCCACCAGTATCGTGCAGCCGGGCTCAAGGACGATCCGCATCGTGCCTGGATTATCGACAATCTCTACCCCGACTACGTCGACGCCATCAGGTCTGGCCGCATCGATGGGAAACGCGATCAGTATGCGAAGACAACCCTTCTCCAACGCTTCGATGCAGAATTTGACTTCACCGGAAAGAACTGACAACCTTCAGGCGGTGATGATTTGCAACGGACATTCACAATTGAAGACGGCGACAAGTCGGTCAATATTGACGATGCCAAAGCTCGAGTAATCCGACGAAATTACAAGAATATCCTCAAAGGGCAATGTGCCGGAGCTGCTGTAGTGCCTCCCGCGACCCCGCCGCTTGTGATTCTGCCTCCCGCAACCCCGCCACCTGTGATCCCGCCTCCCGCGACCCCGCCTCCGGTAAACCTGCCTGCCGCGACCCCGCCTGCCGCGACCCCGCCTGCCGCGACCCCACCTCCCGCGACCCCACCTCCCGCGACCCCACCTCCTGTCATTGCGCCTCCGGTAACCCCGCCCCCCAAAACTCCGCCTTCCGCGACCCCGCCTCCTGTCATTGCGCCTCCGGTAACCCCGCCCCCCAAAAATCCGCCTCCCGTGACTCCGCCACCGGCAACTCCACCTCGAGCAACTTCACGGAATCTTGGGCAGCTATTGGGAAGCTCACCTCTCACACCACCACCACCTACGCCAGTGAACCGTGGTCGCGGTCGTGGCCGTGGCCGTGGCCGTGGCCGTGGCCGTGGTCGTGGTCGTAGTGTGCCGATGGCCACATCACGCACTACTCGTGCCCGGAAGCGCTTACAGGAAGAAATGGATCAGGAGGAGGAGGATAGCCGTCCAGCAAAGAAGAGAGCAGTCTAAGGCCCAAACAAACCAAATGTATCATTCTTGACGACCTGAATAACATAACGATGTCTCCTTCATAGCAGGATTAATCCTAAGGCGAGAATTAATTCTAGCCCACATCAGATAATTCTGAAGTGGCGAAAGTGACGAGTCTGAGGTGGGATTAATTCTCGGATTTAATTCCCAAGATTAATCTTGGGGGGATACAATTTGATGCTCGCAACAGCGGACTGGAGAATGAAGTCCACAATTAATACCACAATTAATTTTACACAGTGGTATACTAGGGAGGCTTAAGGCTAGCTGTTTGTAGCATATAATTAATTGTGGGCGCTAGATGTTGTTAACAAAATTAAATTTTTTCGGCGGCAACCGATGCGCCAACGAGCAAGGGCAGCATCTAATGATGCTCAGGAGGCAGATCGTCGAGTTGCAGGCGAGAGCGAACGGGGAGAGGTTGGAGTCGCTGGAGCCGGAGGGACAGGAGGGCGAGGGGAGTGGGATGAGAGAGGAGTCGCCGGAGGCGGAGAGTCCTCAGGCCGCAAACGAGCGTGCCTATAAGGAGGAACTCCGTCGTCTGATCAACGAGATGGAGGAGGACACAGCGAGGGAGAGGGCGCGAAAGCGTCAACGGACCGCGACTCCGGTCGTCGAGTCAAGCGACGAGGACGACGAGCAACCGGTGCGCCAACGCCGGAGGGTCTTCCGCAAGGGCTTTGGCCCACGCGCAAACCCTGCGTCGTTGTTCGACGACGAGTACACGTCGTTCATCGACGACAAGGTGGAGGAGTCCGTAGATGGGGGCTCGAAGGAGTCGTCGGAGGCGGAGTCCGAAGTGGACAAAAAAGGCAAAGGGAAGCAGCGAGCGAAAAGTTCACCGGAGAAGATCCGAGGCCATCGCGCGCCTGCAACGATCGTGGTGCCCAACTGGGTGCCACCGGTCATCCGGATACCCGACCCTCTCGATATCGCCAATTCGATGAGGGTTTCGGAGCTGGAGCGGGCGGAGCGAAAGCGCGAGAAAAGGCGCAAGTCCAACGCCAGGAAGAACGAGCGTCGGAGGGAGAACAAGCAGGCCCCGGGAAGCTCCACCAAAGGGTGGTCCGAAAATTTGGGTATTTGAGGCCCCAAAATCACGATTTCCTTGTCCAAAATATGGGTATTTGAGGCCTAAAATCTGCCAACCTTGTCCGAAAATTGGGTATTTGAGGAGGATTTGAGGGCTTGGAAGGCAACGGTCACCGCCAAGTCGCCGCAAAAATAAGGTCGCTGGTCATCAATCTGTGGCTGTGTGTCACCACGCTGTCGCAAATTTCTTCTTTCCTTCTTCACGAATTCTTGGGCGACGCTACAGTAATATGGAGCCGCAGAAAGACCCTCTCTCCGTCTTCAATCACGTCGACCTACGCATCCGTGGCTCGCAAGTCAAGTCCTCTGACTTCGCTGTCTTCTCCAAACGCTGCAAGCTTAAGGTTCCCGGAACTGCGATGAATGCGTTAGCCGCTGTCTTACAGCATGTCTCGGAGGAGCAGGGCAACAGCGGCTCCGCCATCTTCTCTTCATGGCTTGGTCCACTCATCTGCCACGACGTTCCCCAAAACACATTCTACGGAACAATTAACGGCCACATCGAAAATGCGGTACGATTCAGATGTTGCATTGATACTTCTATTCACGTCGTGGACAGTGTAACGGATCTATGGCAATGCTGTCTGCCAAAAGCATCTGGATCTTTCCCATGTGCAAAGGTAACCCGTCCCATTGGGTTTTGGGTTGGCTTGAGCTCGCCACACGTCGATACCACATCTTCAATAGCGTTCCTGAGCTCCCTATTCTGTGGGCTGAGCCGGTAAGCAATCTTTCGCTACAGAAGCACGGAACTTATCTATGATGATGCAGGCTCTTCTCGAGATTGGCGACACAGTCTTTGCACATCTTGGGGAGATGAAGGTCGATTGGGAGTCCTGGAAGCTGATTTCACATTCGCCGGCGCCGCTCGATTGCCAGATGAATGGCTGGGACTGTGGAATTTTCGTCATTCATGTAATGCTCGTGTTGGTGAATGGATGGGACATTTCCGAGGTCAAGAACAGTGAGACGGAGCGAATTCGACAAGCCGCCCGTAAGCTCGTTGAGGAGAACCTGGTGTATGTTCTCAATTTGTGATATTTTCGGGATATTGAGGCATCACAGTCTGTTCAAGCCATATGCAACCCCGCTGCCGCAAGAAAAGGTCCAGTCTACAGCTGCAGCGGTATCATTACCAGTGACTGCTTCTGACTCTACCTCGGACAACGCGCCAACACTAAATATCGCGTCTTCACGAACGGATGATGTGACACCAAATCCTGAATCTTTCGATCTCTCCATCAAACCAGGTAATGAGATACATCCCAGCATTGTCTCCGGCTCCAGGTAAGCTGTGTTCAGTTCAAGTGCTGTTTATAACTAATGTAGTACATTCACCCAATAGCTTAAAGCGTAAACGGCCATCTTCCAGCACTATATTTTCGGACTCAGACTCAAACTCTCAGTCAGACGATGATGGCACCCCGAAAAAGCTGGCGAAGAAGGCCTGGACTAAGCGGCGAGGAAAGGGGACAAAGGTTTATGAGCGGGAGCAGAGTTTACTTGCAAATAAGTGGGTTGATGAGGTTGAAGCGCATCGTGTCAAGTGCCGTGGCTGTCACAAGTGGATCAAGCTCGACAATGAAACGCTCGAAAAGGAAAAGGAGGGTGGGTGGAGAGATGGGTGATGGACCAGCCAAAAGGAGGGTGATGGATGGATGGGATGGGATGGTTGGGGTGGGGAAAAGAGAAGAAGAGAAGTGAACTCAACAGAAACACAACACACACACACAACCAACTAACCCAACCAACCAATGTAGTAGTCCAACCAAATGCAAACTCCGATTCGTTTTAAGACGCGTGCAAGTACGGGGGCTCCAGCCAAAGTATATGACTGTTGCAATCCAGTAGTGTTCAAAATTTATAGGGTGTGTAGATAGTCTGATAATTTGAGAGACCTTCCGCGCAGCGGCAAGAGTCGTGTGAACGTAGAGCGAAGATCCAATACAATATCGGACCGGCGGCGTTATCGGCTCCGGTGTCAATCAATGTCTTGGCGCTTCTTAATTCAATTCCGTTCCGTAGTGTACCGTAGTCGTAGTCGTAGTCGTTGTCCAATAAATGCCCCTACCCTTTGGTAAGCAGGCCGTGTCCTTCCGTTTCCTTCCGTGAAGCCCTTACCCTTTGGTAATCAGGCTGTGACTGCAATCCGTGACGGGGATTCAATGGTCTAATAGGTACAATTTGAGCTAAATATATAGGTTTTCGCGTCCCTCGCTACCGTTTCAGCTCCGCGCGACCGTGGCGCGTCCACAGCCTCGGTCTCCCTCACTGCCTTGGCCGTTGCTGCCACAGCCGCCACCCGTTTCCACCACCGCCATTGTCCCCATGGCTGTTGTCCTGTCTCCCTCCTCACCGCCCTCTACTCCTCGCTACCTGGCTGTGCGCGTTTCACCACGCGTTTCAGCTCGCGTTTCACCCACCCAACGCGTCGCCCGCTCTTCAACAAGAACGTCAAATTCAAGCCAAACAACTGGGTTATCCACGAGGGAATATGCCCAAGCATTACAGGCACTACGACATACTGTACTATTTCAATCAATTAGTCCTGTCACGGTCACATTGACTTTTTTGGCCGAAAATTTTCTGCCTGTCACAGGTCACAGCGAGTTTCTTTAGCCCTAAACCGTCCCAAAATGGTAATTTTTAAAAATTTCCGCGCCTATGGCGCGCAGAACTTCCATATAAGGCAGGAGGTCACACCAAATTCACCCCTTGGCTGAATTGCACATTTCTGCCATATGTGTCACAGGTCACAGGCCCGCAGAATTGAATGAAATAGTACAGTATCGCAGCAAGGCTATCACGAAGAATTCTGTTGCAATTGTCAGTGGTCCATTGCTGAACTCATTTATCTAATAAGACCTAGGTCAACGGAAATGGCTCGATCAAGAATTTCTTTCACAGCAAGCGGGCGACTGCTCCTTCGGCGAAACTGTCGGGGTCGGTTACATCTGAGTCAAGTACTACCTGCGTGGATATGGTCGGTGCTAGCACCAGTAATCTTCATCCATCGGAGTCAACCACTTACAAGATATGCCGTGTCGCAGCAGTGAGTGGCAAGTATTTGCATCAAAGATTGCTCACCCATGCAATTTAGACACCAAGTATTGCGACCCTCTTCATGCCAGGGCCAATCAAGTCAAATTCTCGTCCCCGATCTCAATACCTTCCCCTCCTCAACTACAATCATGTCAACACCTCACCGGCCCTGCATACAAATCATATATTGAACTGACAGAAACACGAATGATGGGTGGGGTGTCTGTTGAGCTTCGAGGCCGAAGTTGCGCGGCAGCTCTTTCCGTATAGTCATTTGCACCATTCAAACGTGGGTCGGTGGCATCCAAGGTGTCAGCCGATGTACCGAGCAACGGAAATGTGTTTGTACCCTACCGGATTGGACAGATGATGAGCGCCGAGCGCTGGAGGATGCAGTAAGCGGGTTTTGCGCGTTGGGAAGTGAATTTTGCAAAGAAGAGTATTCGGTCGACACGCTGCGAGGGCACAACAACCAATGCGGACCGGGTTTGCAGGGAATGTACCAAGGTTGCGAATGATGCCGCACTCAAGCATGCAATCAACATTGTAGGCATCCCATGTCTAAGAGATTTCATGTTTATGTTTACCTCTTCTCAGAAAAACAAAGAGGCAGCTCTATCGAATGAAGAACAGCATCGACTTCTCTTAGCACGTCAAAAATATTCGTCACGCCGTTTCCTTGACTATGCTGCTGGTGAACTGAAGGGCAAGCTGGACGACCGCTTGGTATTCGATACTTTCAAAATTCTCCAAAAGGGCGAAAGTACAGATTGTTTTATCCAGCTTTACGATGCCTGCCGGAAAGGCGACCTTCAAAAGCAGCGAGACTTTCTGCCAAATGTGTGTTGTCCTTGCTGACACGCTCCAACGTAAAGACACAACAAAGAAATTTGGCGTCCGTTACCCTAAAGATTATCTCAACTTCTGTATCCTACTCCGTTCATATGGTGCCCAGTCAGCAAAGCAGTTTGCGCTTATTGCCGGCCAACTTCCCATGCCTTCCCCACGTCATCTGCGGTGTGTTAATTTCATGATCATTCAATCCCTGTCTCAAGAAAATTCCAGGGCACTTGTAGCCAATTCAGAGGATGCACTTCAGAATCCCAATCTTACTTTCGAGAATTTGGCACGGTTAAGCGTCTGGTGACGGCCATCAAGTATAACGGGCCAGTCTGTGTTGCGGGAGACTGTACAAAAGTGCGGACACGGCTTACCTACTCCAGCGAGTTTGGCGGGCATATCTTGGGAAGCGTTCTCCCCTTGGAGGAATGCATCGCTGAGACACCAGATGATATCGACAACATCATTTCGAAGATAATCAAATCTAAAACGCAGGCGTCCCAAGTTCGAGCCATTCTGATTAAAGTGAGCTCGAGTCTGTATATATTTATAAAGTTGGATATACGATGAATCATCTAGGCCGTGCCAGCATTGACAAGACATAGTCCTCCCAAACCTGGCCGAGAAGAATGTCCACCAAATAAACCCACTCTCTGTTGGCTCATTTAGTATCATGTTCAACGGTACACGGTTCTACCTTGGAGAAGTTCTCGACGTCTACAAACGAGGATCAGGCAGTCGTCACGGCTCAGTCGAAAATGCGTTATCTACATCAGGCCTGTCATATCTGTCCATGCGCGTGTATCTTGAGCTCGGAACGGTATGTCTACTTGTATTGTCTCTTCACAGCAATTGAATGGTATTTCAGCATGCCGCCGTAACTATTGGCAATGATTCCGACTCGGAAGGCAGTGATATGGAAGACGACAGCCCAGCTTCCCTGTTCTCATGCTATGAACGCAGCGCCGCAGATCTATACTCACGCAAAAATCGAGCATTTAATGTTCCATTTGGGACGTGGGATTCTTCAAGTGGCCCCTTCTGGGGCAACTCATCGCAAACTGACAGAGGATGCCGAGAAGCGTTGGATCATGCTGACGAGGCCCGGGAAGCCTTCAAAGGAGCTAAAGAAGGCAGTAAAGAAGGTCATATTAAAGATAAAGGTGCCAGTATCGTAGCTACTTGAAACTCGCTCAAATCTGATTAAAATTGCCTTTTTGGGAGTAGTCACATCATCTGATGATGTGTGGCGATGTCACTACCCTTGTCCGAAACTGGGTATTTGAGACCGAAAAAAATGGGTATTTGAGGCCCAGATTCAGGAATTTTTCGGACCACCCTTTGGTGGAGCTTCCCGGGGCCTGAACAAGCGGAAGGGGAAGGAGCAGGAGAAGAAGCAAGGATCTAGCAAGAGGAAGTAGCTAGTTAAAACGGCCAATTGTAGATAGAAAAATGGCCTTTGTAGATAGAATTTGAAGTCCGTGATGAGTCCGAAACGAGAGTGAGTGAGCAAGTAAGCAAAGAACCGGAGGGAGTCCGAAAGGTTTAATAGTCCGGCCCAGGCTTGTCCGGGTGTTGACGGTGAAAACTGTCGATAAGCTCTTGAGCTTCTAAGTCGTCAGCGCCAACCCACGTATACTGCTCGTCAGTATATTCGTAGCCCAACCACTCCACGTAGTACCGGAGCTGAACCCGGTACCAATGATCGATTTTAGAGTCAACCACAGCCTTTACCTCGAAGTGTTGTTCACCATTGACTTCAACCGCTGCCGGAGGCTCGTCCGTACGAGTCGGGAACGGATTAGGATAGTGAGGACCCGGGAAGCTCCACCAAAGGGTGGTTCAAAAAATTTCCGGATTTTGGCCTCAAAAACACATTTTTTTGGGCCCCCAAAACCCATTTTTGAAGAAGCATCGTGACATGTCACCGTGTGACACTTGCTAAAAATGGTAATTCTTGCAGGTGTCAAAAAGTGTCTTGCGCCGCTTTTACCTTTGAACTAACACTCTTTGGGGTGATTTCCCTCCCAAAAGGCATCTGGTACTCAGTTAGATGCTGGTGCACATGTCAGTCTAAAACTTTCCTGTGAACCTCCCTGGGGCCTAAAAAACCCATATTTTGAAGAAGGTTTTCAGAATTTTTGTCTCAAAAACCCATTTTTTGGACAAGGAAATCGCGATTTTTGGGCCTCAAAAACCCAAATTTTTGAATCACCCTTTGGTGGAGCTTCCCGGGTCCTGGATAGTGCTTTTCGAGTTGAGAGATGTGAAAGACCGGATGGACTCCGGCGAAGCTTTTGAGGCAAGCGGAGTGTATAGGCAGCGGAGGAAGGTTTGGCAATGATCTCGTAGGGTCCAAGGTACTGCTCAGAGAATTTGGCGGTAGGGCGAGTGGTAGAAATATGTTCAGCGCTAACGTAGACACTTTCACCAACCTCGAAGATCGGATCCGGAGTGCGCTTGCCGTCTGCCGTCTCTTTGTACCGCTCCTGAGCGGAGGAGATCTGTTTTCGAAGAAACTCGTGAAGGGATTCCAAGTCAACGACGTAGTCCTTGGCGTAAACATTAGCCACATCTCGTTCAGGATGAATGGTAAGAGATGGATTGTAGCCTTTGTTAGCGAAGAACGGAGAGACTCCGGTTGACGCATTAGGTGCGTTGTTGTAGGCGAATTCGGCAAGCGGAAGCAGGCGGTCCCAGTCGTCCTGTTGGTACGAGACGTACATGCGGATGAATTGTTCGAGCGTTTGGTTAGCGCGCGCTCGATCTGTCCGTTAGCTGACGGATGCCAACCCGAAGTGTAGTGAAGCTCCATGTTAAGTAACTCGCCTAATGACCGGAAGAAGGCAGACACGAACTCCGATCCACGGTCAGAGGACACATGGGAAGGGACTCCATGTTTAGAGAAGATGTGAATAAGGAAGAAGTGGGCTAGATCTTTTGAGTTGACGTGTTTGTTGCAAGGAATGAAGATAGCCTGTTTGGAGGCGCGATCAACAATGACTAGAATGGAGTCAAACTCGCCAGATTTTGGTAAGCCCTTGATGAAATCCATCGAAATAGAATGCCAAGGTCGTTCCGGCACCGGAAGGGGTTTAAGTAACCCAAACGGTGATGAGTGCGGAGTGGGGACTGCAAATGAGCTCTCTAACTAACCAAACCAACAAAAACAACCAAAACTCCACTTGTCGTAGAGAGAAAGATGTATAATGTCGAGTAGGAAAAGTCACAAAACCCAAAAAAATCGTCAACTCCTTGTGCGAGTACAGGCCCCTGTGAACAGAGCCTTGGCACAGATGTGTAAGGTTGTAGGGTAGATACGAGTTTCTTGCGAAAAACGTTGATTTGTCGTGCCCCAAAGCGTACTATCGACGAAACTCAGCAATAGAGAAGCGCCAATACGATGCCCGGAGAGTTTATACTCGTTGGATCAGGACTAACTGCCTTAAACCCTCTGAGTTGTCTCGAGTCAGGAACTAACTGCCTTAAACTCTCGACCAGCAACCGAAACCCAATAAACAGCAACCGGAACTCTTGTATTCAGCAACCAAAACCCTCAACCAATAATCCTTCCGACGCGATGATACTATTTCGAAAGAGCTAGCAAGATAGATTGACGAGCTAGATCCCCAGATGCACCTAGTAGAGCGGGGCAATCCGTGAACCTGCCAAATACAAAACAGAGATATAAATACTAAACAGAAATTGATAGAATCAGGGAAAATCTCGAGTAAGAAAAGTAGTCCATGTGCATAATTGTATAGGTTTTCGCCATACGGCCCAGAGTCGAAAATCCAGGTCCAGATGACTGGTATCGCGTGTATTGGAGTCAATGACCTGTGTAAATCTTCCGTGTTCGCGACCATCTAGTTTTGCTTGTGAAGAATCCCTCGATCTTGAGTAGGATAAGTGGATAGCTCTGCTTCCCAGCTTTCGATTGACACCCATAACTCGTATCTTGTGCATATGGCCTCAGCGGTGGTTGTCCCAACTCTCCTGGCGCATTTCCAATGTTCAGATGATCTGTTCCTCGACAGTGTTTTAGAGTCGCCGTTGATCACAGGTCCAGGCCCCAGTCAATTGAGTAGGTTTTCGCCGTTTAACCGTCCCTTGGCACTCTCGACCCTCCAGCATGATCCGAAACCACGTTCCAATGATGTCAGTCGTCGATACCAACAGAGATAGGGGTGTCCCTTATCTAGGAGAAGTCGATCTCGAGTCTCCACCGAGCGCCAAACCGAATATGCCTTTTAGAATACACTCCCTTTGGGTATTTTGCGTAGAATTGGATAGATTCTAGCGTAGAACGGGCTCTGCGAACTTTTCCTAGTCAAGATTTTGGAATCACTGAGAGCAATTTGATAGATTTTGACTGGAGTTTGACTGGTTCTTGTGCAGGTAATTCCCTAGTTGACCATTCGGGACTCATGTCAACTCTGAGACGTGCGCTGAGCAACAAAATCGACAAAAATAGTCGTTTCCTGGTCTGTCCCAGACTGCGGCTTATCAACGGTTTATGTTGAGGCTTCTTACAGAGAACGCAAGATTGCACATAGTCACGGACGAAGGTCCGCAACTCCGGCCAGGTGTAGTCGCGTCGTCGTACGAGTTCGAGAGTGTGATTTTGCCCGAAATGGCCAGAAAGAATATGGTCGTGTTTATGTTGAAGGACACGTACCCGCAATGCATCGGAGCCCGGACCGGTTCCGACCAAAGGGACATAGATACGGTCATCAAGTCGTAGAAGACCTGAATCGTCAACAGACGAAGAGGAACCTGACTTTGCAGCCTTAAGACCAGCGGAAGCCGCAGAGTCGTTCGGAAGAGCTGCGAGGATGTCTGTGTGCAGCTTCTCAGTATCCATTACGACCGTTGCTCGGAGGACAACAACATCCTTGAGATACGATGCGCGTAGAGACCTTGCAAGTTGTTCAGTAGCAAAAATTGGGCGCAAATTTTGCGGATTAACCTTACGGTAATCATTATCCCCCTCTTTAGGGTAGACATCCCATTGTCTAGTTAACGCATCGGGTTTTCCGCCCAGACGGCCCGGACGGAAGCGGATCACCATATTAAAATGGCAAAGGTACTCGGACCAGCGGACCTGATGACGAGTAAGAATCTTGGTAGTAGAGAAGTACTCAAGATTCTTGTGATCAGTAATGACATCGATCGGAAGCGGAGCGCCCTCCAGGTAGTGGCGCCAGATAGTGAAGGCATCGAAGATAGCCAACAACTCTTTGTCGTGCACGTTGTAGTTGAGTTCAGCTGGACCAAGGGTTCGGCTGCGAAGGCAACCGGATGAATGTCGCCGTCATCCCCGTTGATAGAGAGAATAGAGGCGATGGCATAGTCGGAGGCGTCCGTTTCGACAGTGATTTGCCGACCAGGCACCCAATGGTGAAGTACTGGGGACTGTTTAAAGGCATTCTTAAGTGTATTAAACGCCGTCGTCCGACCAGTTCCACTTGGTATTGGCTCGCATGAGACGAGTCAACAGAACGGTAGTGTCGGAGTAGTAAGGGATGAAACGTCAATAGAAATTACAGAACCCAAGAAAAGACTGTACGTCTTTGACCTTGCGTGGCACAGGCCAGTCGACGATAGCCGCAACTTTTTCCGGAGACATCCGGAAACCATCAGGTGAAAGGATATAGCCCAAGTACTCA